AGCCCAGCAGCGGCAGGCAGGGAACCTTGGCTTCCTCCTTCACTGGAGCAAGCAAGCCTCCTGTTCGCTTCAGCTGCGTGGCTTCCGGCCACCATCTTGATTGGCAGTTAATTTGCATATCGCCCTGATTAGCCAATGAGAAGCGTGTCGGAGGTACGGTTAATTACCATGTTTGTCTATTATTAGATAGGATTTGTTAATCCTCATCAGAGGATATTTTTTGCATCTGTAAGAAGCAATAATGAATGCAATACATTTCTTCATGGAGAATTCTGAAAAATAGCCAGGATAGAGTATTTTTCTTTTAGAAATGGAGTAACTATACTAAAAATTTTAGCCAAGAACTATTTTTTTAAAAGTAGAATACTTAAAAAGCAATATGATAAGACCACTTAGGTATTTTCTAGTTGTTGAAAATAATTGCTTTAAAAGTGAAAAAGGGAAATCTTAAATAATATGACTGTCGAGTAACACTCCCTCCATGTTCTGCGTGGAGTAGGGTTCGGTATCTGAAAGAGGAGCCGCACAGCAAATGAGAGAAAAAGACAGGAAATAATTTGGAAATGTCAGGGAGCCAGGCGGGCAAGTCCAACTCAAGGAGAGAAAGACTTCCTTCAATGCTCTGGCTGCTCCAACCTTTTATTTGGTCTGGGGTAGCCCTAGGGTAAGGAGGTTTGTCTGGGGTAGCCCTAGGGTAAGGAGGTTTCAATGACACATAGATTAGGTCATAACATGACCCTTAGGCAATTTACATATTAAAGGTAGGGAGGTTGCTGCAGCTATTTACATGATTAAAGGTAGGGAGGTTGCTTCAGCTACCATTATCTAGATTAACTGGGTGGTATCTAGATTAACTGGGTGGTACACAGCCCTGACCTTTGCTAGGGCTACAAGGTTACCAACTTTTGGGGTCTCTGTCTATAGTCAGCTAATGAAGACAGTAAATGGACTCCGGCATATAACTGTTTAAAATGATCCATTAAATTGATTTTTAAAGCTAATGCAATACATTTTTCAAGGATAACTCTCCTTGAAAACAGCTGATAGACTGTTTTTCTTTTAGAAATGGAATAACTCCACTAGGAACTTTAGATAAGAATTGTTTTTAGCGTATATAAAAAACAATATGGTAAGACCACTTAGGTATTTTCTAGTGGTTGAGAATAATTGCTTTGAATGTGAAAAAGGAAAATCTTAAATAATTGACTGTTTAAAGTGAACTACTGAATGGATTTGCTAAGCTCAAAACTTTGTACTATTATGAAATAGATGTTTATGGTTCCTTCTCAACAGTGTGAGTGTTCCCTGAAAATCATGCTATATGAAACCATTTTTTGAAAACATATAAATTATTCAGTATTTGGCTCAATATTTTATGGTGGTGGTGGTGGTGGGGGGGGTCACCAGATTGAGATCCTTCCCCTTCTTGCCCCAATTGAAAAACTAATATTTGAAAGCAAGGACATGTATAAATATGCTCTCTCTCTCCTCTCTCTCTCTCTCAAAAATCATGTTCAAATATAAAATTAATCTTTTTCAAAACTTGCCTTGGAAAGGACTTTCTTAAATTTCAAATCCCAGTCATTTCTCCCCTTACCTTCGATGCCCCTATATCCAGTATTTCTTTTTTTTTAAGTTTCTTTTTAAAAACAAACAAACATATTTTTATTGATTTCAGAGAGGAAGGGAGAAGGGTAAGAGAAGCAGAAACATCAATGATGAGATAACACTAGCCCTAGCCAGTAAGGCTGTAACCCTAGCCCTAACTCTAACCCTAACCCTAGCCCTAGCCCTAGCCCTAGCCCTAGCCCTAACCCCCTACCCCTCCCTAGCCCTAGCCCTAACCCTAGTCCTATCACTAACCCCCCACTGGGGATGGAGCCCGCAACCTGGGCATGTGCCCTTGACCGGAATAGAACCCAGGACCCTTCAGTTTGCAGGCCAACACTCTATCCACTCAGCCAAACCAGCTAGGGTTCCAGTATTTCTTGAGGGAACATTTTTGCGGCAGTCACAGGTTGAGGTTTGCTCTTCATCAGTACCACTAAGGTAGCACCAGAGTGAGCCTCTTCTTCAAAGACCCCTGGAGTTCTTCCAGATGCCAGCCCAGAAGATTGTGGTTAAAAACGAGCTCTGCATTGCAGTGGCCCCTCCCTACCCACCCCTCCCACACTGGCTAATTTCAAGAGGGCAGGAGTGTCCATGTGTGAAATTCTTAAAAACCCTCACCAGATGTGGTTGAAATTTTTCCCCTGTGACATTGACTTATTTTTAATACATATTTATATTGATTTCAGAAGGGAGAGAGATAGAAACATCAGTGATGAGAGAGAATAATTGATCGGCTGCCTCCTGCACAGCCCTACTGAGGATCAAGTCTGCAACCTGGACACGTGCCCTGACCAGAATCAAACCCTCCAGCCTGAAGGCCGGCGTTCTATCCACAGAGCTAAAGCAGCTAGGGCTGAAATTTCAATGCTATTATGTGATTTTGTTGTTCAGTGGAGAAACAATTATCACAGGTGATCGTATGCAGGAAAAGCTTTAAGTCATGGAACCATGATGCTTTCTGAAAACCGCAATGTGGATTATCCGAACATTTTTAAATGACTCAGGACACTGGCACATCTTTATTTATTTATTTTTCATTTATTTGTTATTGTTGATAGTATTACAGATATCATTTCCCCCCTCCCGCCTCCCCCCAGTCTCCACTTTCATAATTTTCTCTGCCCCCACTCTCAATACTCAAAATATTCATTTATCTTGTTTAATAGATCTGTCTCCCAGTCATCTAGCAAAGCTTTTGTTGCAAAAACACATTTCTTAACAATTACGTACACAACAAGAAAGGTTTGGACATTTACAGGACTTGAAATGTTTAAAAATTAATACATGGTAACAGGGTTACAAGGACAGTGGCAACTTTCCGTTTATTTTGCTATTTCATTCTCTTTTTTCAAACAATTATCTCTGAAGTCTGTCCAGACTTCTCCTATCTTCCCTCCTCCAATATCAACGCTGTAACCATTTGAAGTCTCTTGGCCTGGGAAAAAGAAAAATTATGACTTGACAGGGGACACATACTGACGTCTAGCTGTTACAACCCAAAGCACAGCACACAGTCCTGTACAGGTGACACGTTCTACTGTCATCGGTCCACGTTCTCTACCCTCCCTCGGAGAAGGTGGTCAGACCCCTAGGACCCAGGGCTCCCATTAGGGCTCAGCGGCCAGCACATCTTCGGCGATATTGGGCATCTGGGATTTCACGGGGGTGGGCTGGGGGGTGGTATCGGGCTCCCTCTCTTGGGTCAGCAGCTCAAAGAACAGCTCCTCCACGTTGATGTTCTTCTTGGCGGAGGTCTCGAAGAAGCCGCAATTCCACTTCAGCGCGTAGGCAGCGCCATCTAGCGTGGTCAGCTCCCGGCGGACCTCATCGCATTTGTTGCCCACCAGCACGATCGGGTATTTGTAGAGGTTTCCACCCTTGATCTCGCGGATCAGCTCATAGAAGGGCGTCAGCTCTTCCAGGGTTTGCTTTTCGGTGACCGAGTAGACCAGGATGAAGGCGTGGCCCCTGGCAATCTTGAGGCACTGCAAGGCCGGGTAGAGCTGACCGCCAGGTAGGTCGGTAATGCGCATCTTGGTTCCCGAGCCGAAGAACCCGTCTGGCACATGGTAGATGACATCGGCCAACGGCGCCTGTGGCACATACTTATCGGAGTAGCAGCTGTTGACCCATCTCTGCACCAGGGCGCTCTTGCCGACGCCGGCAGAGCCCAGGACCACCACGCAGAAATCTTTTTTCTTCTTAGGGATCAGGATAGAGCGGATGAAATTCAGAGTGGGCGAAGGTCGCAGCCTCTGCCCCAGCTTCTCCTTGAGGCCAGAGCAAGAATTGCCCATGGTCGCGAACTGGCACGAAGACGTGCGCACAACTTCTCTGGCACTGAGACGGAGTCTAGGGAGAAAGAAAGGGAGAGAGATGCCACTTAGAACCTGGAACGTGGTCCCCTGCCTGGCTCAGCTCGCTCCCCAACCCCACATCCTCCCTCCTCTTAGGCGGAGTTTGGCGTATAATGGACGCCAGGATCGCGCCAAGGGCGCAGTACTCGGTGCTTACTGTTTAAAACGAGCAACTAAAACCACAGGAGCCAGAATGCTTGGTTCATGGTGCCGAGAGATACCCACTGCCCACAGCAACTGTCTCCGTGTCATCCAGGGAGGGTACCTGCGGACGATGTGCCCGCCGGTCCACACCGCGGCCCCCCCTGCTCCATGCCGCGCGCGCACAGAGAAAAAATTGGGGTAGAAAAATATTAAGCCCAAAGTTAAAGCCTTTACACGCCAGCGAGGTCGAATTAAAAGATAACTAAATAAAATGACGAAAAATGAAACCACAGCTCTTACGCCCCAAATGAGTCTTAGACCTCAAACGCTAGCGTAAACTATTTTATCCTAAGACGAGACCGATCCCAGGGAACCGGAAGCATCTGCCTTCAACTACGGGCTCCGTCACTTGCGGGCTCCGCGACCGTTATCAGTATTTGCATCTGCGAAACGGGCAAAACACTATCCGCGTCACCGAACTGTTGTGACCGTTAAATAGCAGAATGCAGAACATCGGCAAGTGGAAAGGTTTGATCAGTATCCGCTCCGATGTCACGTAGAAATCCTGGCATGGCGCCTAAATATTTGCCATAATCTTAAAAAAAAATATTTTGTACGAGGTATTGCGGCAATATAACCACCACGTCCGCCCCTTTCTAAAGGGTTCTACCTGCCGTTTAGTAATCCCTTGTTCATCTACAAAAAGCAACAAATGACGCAATACATTTTTCAAGGGAAGGCTCCTGAAAAATAGCCAGGATATTTTTCTTTCAGGAATGGAATGACGCCACTAGAAACAATAGCTAAGAACTATTGTTTTTTTAAAAAAAATAGAATACTTAAAAAGCAAGATGCTAGCGGGCAAATCCGCTCCGGACCCGGGCGGCAATGGCGGTATTTGCAGATGCGTCACCAACCGCTTACCTGGAGCTGCAACAGGAGCGCAGCACGACCAGCTCGCTCGGAGGTTCCGAGAGAAATGCTCCCAAAATTCTCCTCCGTTAGACTTGGGGGCGCAGGCTGGGAGACTCCACTTGCGCGATAGGCAGAGGGGGGACCGTCCTTGTGGGGGGCTGGCCGAGCACAGATGCATGCCCACCCCTCCCCCAGCCTTCCATCCTGGCGTCCCCCACACCTGAGAGTGCCTGTACCCTAAGCCCAGGGCTGGAGGAAGGGGGGGTGGTCCTGGATTCGCAGGCATTGGCCTCTGTGGGCTTAGCCATACCAAGATTTCTGTTTGAAGAGACTGCAGGACCTTCCTCGCTGTTGGATTTCCTGTGGTTTAGACAGGTTCCATGTCAGAGGGATGAGGGTGCCCTTTAAACCCAGGGACATTAAGCAGCTATCACATTCATCCCTTCTCTTTCTCTAATGTCTCATTTGATCCTCACAAAAACCTTATTTAAAAGACCAGGGCAGGAATAAAGATGTTTTTGGAGGCAAGACACACATACACACACACGCGCGCGCGCGCGCGCGCACGCACCCAGGAAAAACTGGGGTGGAAAATATATACCCCAAAGTTAAAGCTTTTAAATCCCAGAGAAGTCCAATTAAAAGATTATTAAATAGAATTCACAAGAGATGATGAAAATATGAAACCACAGCTCTTACACCCAAAATGAGTCTTATACCTCACAAGCTAGTATAAAATACTTTACCTTAAAAAGAGCCCTGTTGCCCTAGACAGTTGCTCAGTGGATAGAGCATCCGTCATGGGTTTGATTCCGGTCAAGGACATGTACCTGGGTTGCAGGCTCAATCCCTGGCCCTGGTCAGGGTGTGTGCAGGAGGCAACCAGTCGAGGTGTCTCTCTCACATTGATATTTCTTTCTCTCTGTCTGTCTGTGCCCCTCCCTTCCACTCTCTCTAAAAATCAATGGGAAAATATCCTCGGGTGAGGATTAACAACAATGACAAAAAACCCACACACAAAAGAAGAGACTTATCCCAGGGAAGCAGCACTATACTGGGCCAGAGGATTCAAGGAACTGGGCTACAAAGAGTTCTGAAATAGGTATCAGCTAGTTAGGATTCACAATTTGGAGATACATATGTCAGGGAAAAAGACAATTAATGAGACTAACATTGAAATGAATCAGATGTTGGAATAACGTGAGAAGGATTTTAAAGCAGCCATTATACTTCAACAAGCACTTATACTTCTTTTGAAACAAATAAAATAAAAACTTCAGCAAATAAAATATATAAAAAGGATCTAAATGAAAATTATAGAACTGAAAAATACAATAATATAACTTTTTCAATAATATGCTTTTATTGATTCTATAGAGAGAGGATGGGAGAGAGAAACATAAATGAGACAAACATCTATGGGCTGCTTCTTGCACACCTCCTGCTGGGAATCGAGCCCAGGCATGTGCCCTGACCGGGAATTGAACTGGCAACCTCTCGGAGCATGGTAGGACACTCAGTCATCTAAGGCACACTGGCCAGGGTTAAACTTTTTTAAAACTTCCTAAATGGGTTCAATAGTAGAATGGAGGTGACAGAGGATAGAATCGGTGAACTGAGGATAAAGCAACAAAATGTACTTAATGTCAACAACAGAGAGATAACAACCTGGGGGAGGGGTGGGCTGAATAGCCTCAAGGACACACAGGACATTCCTACATTCGTGTCATTAAAGTCCCAGAAGGAGGGGGAAA